GTATGCCAATAGGTGGTTGTGTCTTTAAATACAAATGATTTTAGATAAAAAAATGTTTAAATAATTGTAATCAAATGAGAATTGTGGTACAGTGATAGTAAAATACATAAACTTTAAAATGTACAATTCAATTTGAATGAAGTATATATAATGATTGTGGAAGAAATGCACAAAATGTATTTGTAACCAATCGACACGCTTTCTACAAGATGTAACGAAAGATTATTCTTTTTTTGTGAGTGTTTTTGTTTAAGTAAAACAATAATTTTTTTCAAAAAAACATTAGTAGAGGGGGTAGAAATGTTTAGATGCTCATTGTTTGTGTTTTATTGCAAATCTTCTTTGGGGTTCTCCATGTTGCTTATTGAAAGGGTTGTTGAAACTCCAGTAGCTTCAAGATTGTCTGAGCCACAAAATGGTTGTTGTTATTTACCTGGCTGACTGTCTCGGTTTAGAAACTAAGCAGGGCATATTCTGGCTAGTACTTACTTGGATGTGGAACCACTAGAAAACCCAAAATTGGGACGTTGAAAAAATATCCCCTGAAGCCATTGCAAAGCTCGGTCTGTAGTGTTGCTAAAAAAAAAAAAAGGCTATCGATGTCATCATTAAATCTCCAAGAGCCAAGATTGATTTGAAAGAGATTTGATTGTATTTTTGAAGGCCTAGAAAATGTCTGAAAGCACTAAATGGGGAGGGGGTGGGGTTAATGGTAAGCAGAATTCAACCTTACAGAAGGGAAACAGTGATTTAAGTAAATATATTTTATTGATTTACGTGTTTAGGGTGCTGCCATTTGGCTTTACTATAAGTTGATTAATCATCATGGCTGCTGTTTGTACTTACTTTGTGGATGTTTTTATTCTTTTAATGCTTTTTAATTGTTTTATAATTTTAGAATTGTAAGCCGCTTAGAGTCACTTGGCTGAGTTGAGCAGCTATAGAAATTGAATAAATGGATGGGTGAATGTATGACTAAATAAATGCCCTGTTGTCACCACAGAGTCCCCAAGCGTCCTATCATCAACACCCCAGTGGTGAGCATCAGCATCCATGACAATGACGCATTGATGCAACGCGCCCTTGAGAAACCCATCACTGTGCAGTTTCGGATGTTGGAAACTGAGGAGCGGACCAAGCCTATTTGTGTCTTCTGGAACCACTCCATCCTGTGAGATCTATTTCCCAGGCAAAATGGCTGGGACTGCCATAGAATGAATAGGGAGGGAACAATAGATATTGGGATGTGGGGGGGCAGGATTCCTCGGGCTGACTCTGCTATTTTTCAGGGTCAGTGGGACTGGTGGCTGGTCAGCTAAAGGCTGTGAGGTTGTCTTCAGGAATGAAACGCATGTCAACTGCCAGTGTAATCATATGACAAGCTTTGCTGTGCTGATGGACATTTCCCGAAGAGAGGTAAGAAAAATAAGGACTCTACTATGAGGATAGGAGAATAAGGCAAGGGAGAATTCTGAAGGGAGCATAACACAGTAGCAGAAGTTAGGTTTTGGCTCCTTAAGGAGCCAAGGATGTTAGACCCATAGGGCTGCAAACAGCTCCTCCTACTCATTGCTGGAACTCAAAACAAATAGCTATCTAGCCTCTGTTTGAACACATTTAGTCAAGGGAAATAATTGATTCTACTATCAAATTGCTCTTGCTTTTAGGCAGACCAAATAATAAGATGCATGGGTATCCATTAATAAATTCTCTGTTCCTCCCAGAATGGTGAGATCCTACCCCTGAAGACGATCACATATATCTCCATTGCTGTGACGCTGGGCAGCCTCCTGCTTACTTTCTTCTTCCTGGCTGGATTGCGAACTCTGCGATCCAATCAACAAAGCATCCGCAAGAACCTAGTGATTGCGCTATTTTTTTCTGAACTCGTCTTCCTACTGGGCATCAACCAGGCTGATCTGCCAGTAAGCATCTGTAGGGGTGGGAGAGGAAAAAAAACTTTGCTAAAAAGATTAAGTTCATAGTCATGGTCATATCTACTAAGTATCAATACAATAATTACTATCTATTGCTAATGAATAGTCAGACATCCCACTCCTCCCCAACAAACCACACTGGGTTATCTGGCATCCACGCATCCTTCTTTGTTTGGGTGCCTTTGAGAGCCAAGAAAACTGCCTTAAACTAATAGCAGGGGCTCCTGGAAATGTAAATCAAAGATAGGAAAATATCCTATCTGAACTCCAAATATATAGTGAAATGGTTCATTACATTTTGTGTTTTGTGTACATTTGGAACAGGTTTCTAATCCTGCTCTTTTGTCTCTTTCATTGATAGTTTGCCTGTACCGTCATTGCCATCCTGTTGCACTTTCTGTACATGTGTGCCTTTGCCTGGGCATTGCTAGAAGCATTGCATATTTACCGCATGCTGAGTGAAGTGCGAGACATCAACTATGGCCCGATGCGCTTCTATTATATGGTCGGATGGGGTGTGCCAGCATTCATCACTGGTGAGGCCCGCGCTAAACTTCATATAATCTGGCATATGGCCATGGCTCTTCTGAGGCCATTATACTCTTTGTGAATCATATATATATATATATATATATATATGGCTCTGTGTGTGTGTGTGTGTGTGTGT